AGCCAGGATAGTCTCGATCTCCTGACCTCGTGATCCGCCCGTCTCGGCCTCCCAAAGTGCTGGGATTACAGGCTTGAGCCACCGCGCCCGGCCCGAGAAACAGTTTTATGAGAAGACATAAACTAAGGGGTACCCATGAGTATATCTCATCCTTCCTCTCCCAGGCCAGAGTAACAGGCGTGCGGAGATGCTCTTGCCCTTGGCCCCGGGCTGCTCACCTCCGGCCATGAGCTGCCTCACCCAGTTAGCCAGGCGGCTGCACAGGTGTTTGCACGTCCCGCATGTGGCCTGCCATGAAGAAGGTCCGCATACGTGGCTCTAGGCCGTGCAGGCAAGTCTTCCCCAGGGGCGGAAGGAAGTCACCCTGAGACCCTGTCCCCTGTGAGGACCTCTCCTAAGTCAGATTGCTCACTGCCCCTAGCTCCAGCTCCTGCTGCCATTTGCCTGGGGGTTGCCAGTTGACAAATCCTCCCCCAGCTGGAGTGCTGCCACAGCTTTGTCCAGGTATATATTCTGTTGCCTGTCCCGGGAACAGCTGTGCTCTGGGTTCTGGGAGCCACAGGCTCCAGCACGACTGCTTTCAGGATACGTGAATGAGGAAAGCTTGGGAAGCTTAGAAAGGTATCCTGGATTGGAAGGCCGAGGCGGGTGGATCACCTGAGGTCAGGAGTTCGAGACCAGCCTGGCCAACATGGCAAAACCCTGTCTTACTAAAAACACAAAAATTAGCCAGGTATGGTGGTGGACACCTGTAATCCCAGCTACTTGGGAGGCTGAGGCAGGGAGAATTGCTTGAACCTGGGAGGCAGAGGTTCAAGGTTGCAGTGAGCTGAGATCATGCCACTGTACTCCAGCCTGGGAGACAAGAGCAAAACTCTGTCTCAAAAAAAAAAAAAAAAAAAAAAAAAAGAAAAAAGAAAAAAGAAAAGAAAGATATCCCGGAAATATACTTCTAGTAACAGCAAGCTTGACTGACCAAGAACAGGGAGAATATTCCATGAGAAAGGAAATGTTTCTTTTCCTGGCTTCTTGCCTTAACCTGGTGGGGCACAGGGTCAGCTGAAGTGTCTCCACATGGTCTGTGGTGGCTGAGGGGAAACAATGGCTTATCCAGGATGCATCTTGCATTGTATAGTTGCTTTGATTAGCCTCTGTAAGAACTAATACATTGTTTGGTTATTATGTTTTCCGTGCTTTGCATAAAGAATAATAGAATTTCACAGATGGAATGAGGCCTGTTGATTTTCTAAAGCATCACTACATTTAGGTGGAGTGACTAAGGTCCTGGAGGTTAAAGGGCTCACCCCAGGCCATCCTGGGCATTTGCCACTCCTCTGGGAAGGGTAAGGGGATCTCACATGCAGCCCCCACACCAGCTCCACGTAGACATTTCCCGGGGAGGATGTGAGTTCAGGCTCTGCATTTTGAATTCTCATAAAGGGGCTTGGATTAATGATCTATTAGTGCTTAAATGTCTTTAGAAGCATTTTCTTTCAGAGAGTTTTTGAAAAAGTGAATTAAAAAATGCTGGCTGTTTATTGCACATATATCTGGGGACAGGATATCAATAAGTTGGAAAGACAATATACAGACTCTGTGTTGCATGACTGTGATGGGGAGATGAACTACTGGCTCTCCCTTTACCAACCCTCCCTCCCGCCCTCCCCCTTTTCCATAACAACAGGAGTTGTCTGGACTCCTGCCAGTGTTGCACAGAGCATTTTGCACCCATTTCCAACACTTGCAATAACCCTCGGAGGCAAAGATTATTATTCCCACTTTACAGATGGAGAAACTGAGGCTCCCAAAGATTAACTAACTTGCTACAAATCACACTGCTTGGCGAGTGGTGGAATGCTAATTTCTCTGATTTCAAGGGTGAACATCGATGTGCATCTCAGAGTTCTGTTAAAGTCATGTGACCCAGAGAGAAACCCAGCCCCAACTCTGTCAAAAACTTCCCAGGACCCACGCGAGTGAGGGCGAAACCCTCGTCTACCTGCAGAACTCCCCTTCTGATTCTGGCAGCATCAGCGAGGCCGTGGGGTTCTTCATCAGATCAGCCACCACGGGGTCCTTGGCCGTCATGTAGAAGAAAGGAATCCCAGTGCTGTTGTTGAAGGGGCCATCACTGATGGGCAGGCAGCTCCCAAACGGCAGTCCTTGCATCTAACAAACACCAGAAAAGGCTTTTTCAGTGCAGAGCTGTGGCTTGACTTGATCTGGGAGCTTAGCTTGTGCCTCTGGCTAGGAAATACAACACCAGGGATGAGGCGGGATCATGGCATCACAGTGGCTCTCACAGGTAGTAAATCAAGGTAAGGTGGTCCCCTGTCTGCCCAATTCACTCCGTGGTGGCCCTAGAATTTCTCCATAGGAGATGCTTAGCAGTGGCATCCTATTTGGAAGGGTGGTGAAAGGATTCTTCTTGAAGCTGCCTGTGCATGGCAAATATATTCACTTCATTAAATTTCATGTTCTTTTGGGGAGAGACAATGACATTTATGGGGGGTGGCGCTAAGCCTTTTCCTCAAGCTGCCTGTTACAGCCGCACTGCCTTAACTCCCAAGGTTAACTGCCTCTCCCAAGTTTTTAGCAACTTTAGGGAGGATGTTTAAGCCTTTAACCTCTTGCCTGCTCTTTGGACTTCAGGAACTTTCTATTATTGTTTCTTTTAGGGCTACATCACTTTCTGATTTATTAGCTGCGTTTTTTATTGTAATCAATAATATTTCATTGTATGACTCAGCAAGTTATGAGAAATTGATCTGTTTCCCTTTTTGCATAAAGGAAGTCACAGAAACACGATACGCCAGTTTTTCTTCATGATCACCCAGTAGGGTGGGAGAAGGGTGGAGCTATAGTTTGGATATCTGTCCCTCCAAATCTCATGTTAAATTCTGATCCCCAGTGTCGGAGGGGAGGCCCAGTGGGAAGGGTTTGGGTCGTGGGGGTGGATCCCTCACGGGCGTGGTGCCCTCCTCGAGGTACTGAGTGAACTGTCCCTCTGTTGGTTTCCTTGAGAGTTCCCCTGAGAGAAGGTTTAAAAAAGTCTGGTGCCAACTGGGCGTGGGGACTCACCCTGTAATCCCAGCACTTTGGGAGCCCAACAGTTGAAGATCAGCCTGGGCAAGATGGTGAGACCCCCATCTCTATAAAAACTTTTTCAAAAAATTAGCTTGGCCTGGTGGCATACATCTGTAGTGTCACTTACTTGAAAGGCTGAGGCAGCAGGGTTGCTTGAGCCCAGGAGTTTGAGGCAGCGGTGAGCTATGATCGCACCACTGCATTCCAGCCTGGGTGGCAGAGCCAGACCCCATCTATCAAATAAATAAATAAAAATAAAAAGAACCTGGCACCTTCCCCTCTCTCTTGCTTTCTTTCGTGCCATGTGATCTCTGCACACACCGGCTCCTCTTCACCTTCCATCATGAGTGGCAGCAGCCTGAGGCCTCCTCAGAAGCACATGCTACGCCATGCTTTCCGAACAGCACACAGAACTGTGAGCCAAATACACTTCTTTTCTTCATAAATTACCCAGCCTCAGCTATTTGTTTACAGCAATACAAATGGACTAAGACAGGTGGTATATCCTGTTTCCGTGACTGCAGATATAAACAAAAATATTTATTTATTTATTTATTTTATTATTATTATTATTTTTTGAGACAGAGTCTCACTTTATTGCCCAGGCTGGCATTCAGTGGCATGATTTTGGCTCACCACAGCCTCCATCTCCTGCGTTAAGCGACTCTTTTGCCTCAGCCTCCCAAGTTGCTGGGATTACAGGCGTGTGCCACCACGCCTGGCTAATTGTTGCATTTTTAGTAGAGACAGAGTTTCACCATGTTAGCCAGGCTGGTCTTGTACTCATGACCTCAAGTGATCTGCCTGCCTCGGCCTCCCAAAGTGCTGGGATTACAGGTGTGAGCCACCATGCCCAGCCAACAAAAATATTTAGTGCTGAGGTTTTCCCAAATCCTGCCCGTCAAGCAACCCAATTTTCCATGATTTTATCCCTAACAAAGTGCACCTTGTTGTTACTTAGCTCAGAATTCAGGGGTTGTCTTTGGCCTTGGAACGTCGCATGATAATGGTGTGTAGAATTATAAAAGGCGGAGCTTTAATTTTTTAGGAACATGAAATGTTAAGGAATCTTCTAAAACGGTAATATAACTTTGTTCATATATCCTGTTTTCAGTTTGTCATAGCTGCCCAGAGTCATGCTTTGCATACATGGCATTGTAAGTGCTTTCTGAATTTATTGTTTTAATCAAATGTCAATAAGGATTAGAAAGAGGAACTCCTAACAAAGCTAAGAGAAGGACTGTTGAAAGTCAAAATATCTCTAATACATTGGCACTAGACTTTTAATCTCTTGAAAAGATTTGTGTTTTCAAGTAAGATCAGTGTCATCTTTAACCTTTATGACTTTTTTTTCTTTTTTTTTTTTTTGTGAGACGGAGTCTCGCTCTGTCACCCAGGCTGGAGTGCAGTGGCCCGATCTCCGCTCACTGCAAGCTCCGCCTCCCGGGGTTCAGGCCATTCTCTTGCCTCAGCCTCCCAAGTAGCTGGGACTACAGGCGCCCGCCACCTCCCCTGGCTAGTTTTTTGTATTTTTTAGTAGAGACGGGGTTTCACCGTATTAGCCAGGATGGTCTCGATCTCCTGACCTCGTGATCAGCCCATCTCGGCCTCCCAAAGTGCTGGGATTACAGGCTTGAGCCACCGTGCCCGGTCTATGTCTTTAAGATGTGTCTTAGGAGTGCAAGACACAGCTGTGAAAAATCATTTGGGTGTTGAGAATATCCAACTGGATCTGCATTTGACACTGAAGAGGTTAAGACCATTGCCTCTTTGGTCTTGAAATAAAGTTGCCATTTAGGTAGTTTTTAAGCAAAAAAGGGCCTTAACAACTGCCTGGTTAACCACCTAATTTTACAGATGAGGAAAGCAAAGAAGAGAAGCCAGTGGCTTGGCCACAGTCTTGCTGAGACCCAGAGCTGGGGCAAGAACCTGGCCAATGTCCTATGCATTCTATAAAATATTATTTCTTTTTTTGTAGGAAGTAAATAGGAGTTCACATTACTGCTTTGTAGCTCTTTCATTTCTCTTAACACCCCTAAAAGCCTTCTGAAGGCATGGAAGTTACATCTGCATTACTTATCCATGTCATTCTAGGTGGAATCATGTCTGACAAGTGAGTAAAGCATTTGCGAACTGAACAATTAAAAGTGCAGCGAATAGCTCATTCCAGCATTTACCCACTTTGCATAATAAGCCTCCTTTCCAGAAAAAAAAAAAACCTTGAACTCCATTTTCTTAAATGCAGATTTCCATCGAAGCCCTGGTGCTGTCTCTCTCCCCATCCCCACTTCAGCTTCAGGTCACAAGGTGATGGGGAGTTCGAGTCTATGAATTTGTGCCCTGCGCTGGGAAGGGCTGTCCCCGCCTACTCTGCAATTCCAAAGGCGGCTCTGGCTGCTTTGGTCCAGGTCTCGGTCAGACACAGGTTAGGTGTCCGTCTCCCTGCCTGGCCATCTCAAGGTGGGGATTGGGTACCCAACTCTAGCTGGCAGGAAGCCTGATTA